TCTTGACAGGACCTTTCAAAGGTGAAGATGTCCTCATTCCTCGCATTCCTATGATTCCAACGGATGTGCCATTTCAATTTAAGAGATTGCAATTCCCAATTCGATTGGCGTTTGCAGTCACCATCAACAAAGCTCAGAGCCAATCTTTAGAACTGTGCGGTTTAGATCTAGACAGGGATTGCTTCTCACATGGACAATTATATGTTGCGTGTTCTAGAGTCGGCAAACCAGACAATCTCTATATCTGCACAGACAATGGAACAACAAAAAATATTGTATACCCACAAGCATTGTGAAATTAAACATATGAGAAACGTGCGCTTTCTCTTTTCTTTCTTTTCCATTTAACCAGACTGAGCCACAGCAACGCGTGGCCGGGTACCGCTAGTGTTAAAATATATATATATATACAGTGTTGACAATACAGAAATTGATACAAAAATCTAAAGTTTTCACAACTACAGTGACTGTCTTGATATATTAATTTTTTTAAAAAACTTTTGTTATTTAAGTTAGAAATATACACTAAATAGGTTAATGTCCTCTCTCTCATCACCTCTCTTGACGGGGACCAAACTTGTGCCGCCTGTCTTTCTTGAGAAGCAGGTTCTTTGATGTTGTCCTGTGGTTGTTTGTGGCATGCTGTGTTGTTTTTACAACAGTGGGCCACAAACAACCACAGGACATCAAAGAACCTTCTTCTCAAGAAAGACAGGCGGCACAAGAGAGGTAAGAGAGGACATGAACCTATATGGTTCATAAATTCTAACTTAAATAACAAAAGTTTTAAAAAGTTTTAATATATCAAGACAGCTGCTGTAGTTGTGAAAACTTTGGATTTTGTATCCATTTGTGTATTGTCGATGGATGATGTATATATATAAAGGACGTTCTGTAAATAATGCCTCCTATTTTTTTGTGTTAATATGTAACATCTGAGATGGATGTTGGTGGTGTTGTAGTAAAGGTTGAACCTTCCCGCCAATGTACTGTTAGTTTGGTTGTCATGCGACAGATAGCAACAGCAGAGCAGTCTACCAAAATGGTGTCTCACATAGAAGTGCGAATGAAACAGAGATGTGTAATTGAATTTCTCACTGCCAAGCCAACTGTATCCATTGACATCCATCAACACTTGCTAAAGGTGTATGGAGACGATACAGTGGATGTCAGCACAGTGAGGTGGTGGGTAGTGCATTTCAACAGTGGCGAAAGTGAAGTACATGACAAGCCACGCCCTGGGTGTCCCTGCTCAGATGCCACTCCTCACAATGAACAGCGCCTCATCCATACAGATCGGCAGATAACGACCAGGGAACTGTGTGCACAGCTTAATATCGGCTGTAATGCATTGGAAACGATGTTGGGGAAGCTGGATTATCGCAAAGTTTGTTCCAAGTGGGTCCCGCAGATGCTTACACAGGACCACAAAACTCATCAAATTAAAGTTTGTGAGGACCTGTTGCACCAGTTTGAGGCTGAAGGTGACAAGTTTCTGGACAGCATTGTCATCAGAGATGAGACGTGGTGTCACCACTATGAGCCCGAATCCAAAAGACAGTCCAACAAGTGGCGACATCTGGATTCCCCCCCCAAAAAGAAGTTCAAGACACAGCCATTGGCAGGGAAAGTGATGTGCATGGTCTTTCGGGATAGGCAGGGTGTGATTTTCTTGGATTTCCTGGAGCCTGGTGAGACTGTGAATTCTGAACGCTACAAGATGATGCTGACTAAGGTGAAAGCCCGCATTTCCCGAGTCAGGCCAGAGAAGCAGACAACCTTTCGCTTGCAACACGATAACGCTAGACCCCATACCAGTTTGGCAACCACCGCGCACATTGCAAAGTTTGGCTGGACTGTCCTACCAGATCCACCTTATAGCCCCAGTTTGGCACCTTCAGACTTCCATCTCTTTGGTCCTATAAAACATGGACTATGTGGGCAACATTTTCCAGACAATGATGCTGTCATTGCAGCTGTAAGAAAGTGGCTAGCCTCTGCTGGCGCAGACTTTTACATGCGCGGCATACAGGCTCTTGTTCATCGCTGGGAAAAGTGCATAACGAATGGTGGCGATTACGTGCAAAATTACTGTAAGTAGTTGAAATATTGCTCTATTTAACTGCATTATTATGCTTTCTGTATCTGTTGTAGTTTTCTTTAAAAAAAATAGGAGATATTATATACGGAACGCTACTCGTATTTTAACATTCAGAACACCCATTGTAACAGTGGTTTCAAAACTGTATTGATGTCCCTCTGAAGATGGTCTCTAAGGACCGAAACATGTAAGAGCATGAAGAATTGAAATAAGAAAAACTTCACCAGTCACACTGGACAGAATTGTTTTATCTTTTATAATATTGTTAATGTGATGGAGCAGAATGAAACAAATCATATTTACGCTTAATCGGAATATGTTATCATAACTCTGTGATCTGATTATACCATTTATGCAAGCATCCTTAATTTATGTAAGAAATTGTGGCAGGCCATTCTGTGCAAAGAGGAAACATGACACATGTAATTAATTAATATTCAGTACTTTAAATCAAGAATTTAAACCAGATCTTTAGTAAATCATAAAAACAACAAGATGGCATATTAAAAGATCATCCTTATAACTCCCTATATTCATTCTATGATTTTGCGGATAAGATTTATGTAATATGAATAGTAAAATATTTGCCTTATTGTATGCAGGTACATAATCTGATATAGGCATGCGAGGCAATGGCTTAGAGTCTGTGTAGACTTTTCACCCTCAATCTGCGAGCCTGGCCTTGCCTCAGAAAACTGAGGGTGAGAGCACATCGAAAATGGGTTTTGTACTACCCAGTTGGAGTTGAGCGGTTAAACTGATCACTGACAGTAGCTTTCTGTCATGCTTTGGACTGGTGTGGTGTCTTCATGTAAGGTAGTCTTAAGACTGACACAGAAGTCTGGCAGAGGTTAAGCTTGCAGAGTGATAGTGTGGCCACTGTACAAGGTATAAGTAACATTGCCGAAGGAGTGTAAAGGTAAAGCTTTACACTTCTACCGTAACAAATTCTCGATGTGACAATGAGAAAATGTCACCATTCAGTCTACCGCCCATTATGGCTCATTGTATTAAAAAGAAAAAAGCTATCGCTCTAACAGGCTGTGGAGGCCCATAGCGTTGTGAGATGTTGAGGTTCCCACATTTTCTAGATAGTCAACTCACAGATGGTGGTGAGGTCAGCCTTATGCACCACCCACCCTTTACCCCCAGGAAGATCCCTGGTGCTCATTTCTGTTAGAGAATGAGTTGATACCAGGACAATAGTGCAGCTGGAAGGAGTAGGTCAATGGAAAAATCCAATGACCTCATCAGGAATTCAATCTGCAGCCTTCCAGCTTGTAGCATAGTGCCTCAACCAACTATGCCACTGCGTGCCCCATGTCTCATTGTAGTTTACTTTACAAATTATGAATGCTCAATAGCAACAAATGAATATTATACAATGTGTCAAATTTACAGTTAAGTACTGACCAAATAAGTGTTCAAGTGTGATGGCTTGGAGTGAAATGGTCTTTAACAGTATTTTATGAGGAACATTCCCAAAATTCTATCCTACTTCTTTCACTCTGAGCAAAGAAAAATATAACATTAATCTGCTGTATGTTACTCATTATCCCCCCCCCCCCTGATTGTCAGAATTTGGACATCAATATTTCATCTTTTACATGAAGATACAGAATAGCTTCTTTTAACGTGACATTTTCATGAAGTAGTTTATTCATCTATTAGCATAAAAACATGAAAGCTGAATGATGTATTACATAAACATGAAACATTTCTTAGCAGTCAGCATTATACTGCATCATTTATTTGTTAAAAATCTTTATAGTGAAAACATTTTATTCCTCTGTGAGTTCTGCACTGTTGAACAACATAAAAATATGTGATTAACTAGAATGTTTGTGCAGCATTATCCACAGATATTTATGTGAGTTGATGAAATGATGTGAAGCAGACACGCCAGTCATACTAACACAAAAGGTTGTCTTCACAGTTTATATTTGTGAAGCCACCAATGAAGCTGGACTAACAATAAAATGAAACAGCTTGCTTAATGCCGTCACAACATTTTGCAATATTGAGGAGCAAGGTGAACTAATGAGAGAGCTGCCTGTGGAAGAAGCAGAACCCTTACAGAAGAAGATCGGAGTTCATTAACCCGTATAAAATGAAAACAATGCTAGATGAAGGAGCTCTGCAATGCAAATCTATACTAAAGAATGACCTTTATAGAGACAGAAAATACTGCAAAATGGAATACCAGAATTTTGCAAATCAATGTGGACCTTTGTTCAAAATTGGACACTGAGGATAGTCAAGGAAAGGCAGAAGACAAGTTATCAAGGAGGAGAAAAAGAAAGATAATTATAAAAGGAAGGAAAATATAAGTTAAAAGAAAAAGAGAACAAGTGAAATGTAGGATTTGAGGTTCTCACAGCCATGTAGCCCACTGAAAGTCAGCTGAAGTTTCAGAGGAACATAACACCTCCATCTTCAGGATCAAATAAGCTGAGCAAGATACTATCTTGCTCAACCCTGAAAATGGAGGTAATATGTTCCTCCAAAAAGTAGGTTAACTTTCAATGGGCTAGATGGCATTACATCCCAGAAGAGTTTGCTTCATGAAAGGAAATGATTTTCAGATGAAATTCAGTCTAATATGTAGCATCCAACATCGGAATATTTGGCATGCAAGTTTACTTCAACTCTCTGGGTAATTAATTTGTTTCATTTATACATGGAAATGGCACAAATATGAACAAGAGTATAAGAATCATGTTTTAAATTAAATTTCCTTCAGAATATTTACTTTTGTAGGAAATTCTTGTTATGAAAACCTTTTTCCTTGGACCACTAGCTTACTTTCATACTATCAGCATACTGGGAAACAATATGGCTTGCTGTGTAGCAATGAATCTGCATTCCTTGCTTCATATCATTGCACACGCAGAGCCTCGAAAATTACTTTTGTGTTACATGCATTCTGAATGGATATCAAGAATATTAATAGTTACTAAGACAATGGAACCCAGTGCTGAAGAAAGATAAATTAAGAAATGTAACCTTTTGGCCATTTTAGACTTAAGTGTACTTGCTGTAGACCTATAGGAATCTGTCATCGCTAGGACATGAATCTATTTACTGTGTCATCCATTCTTTACTTAACATAGATAAAATATATAATTCATATAACAAACAGTAAAAAATATTTCTGAGAATTTGTTTGTGGTAAAAATGCTGTCGGAATTCATGCAAGTCTCATACCAAAATTTAATTTAATTTGTTAACATAATGAAGTAATCAGTTCCAAATACACAAAATATAATTACTTTCATTTACATATGATGTGACACCCTTGCTGTGGTGAAAATGAAGATTACTGTTGTCTGGAATGTGATACTGTGCCTGTTGCGTACCAAACTACACGGTTATCACATCCCAGAAGGCAGTAATTTTTGGTACCTTTTATGTTTTTAGTCTGCCTTGTTAGAAAAAGTAATCCACTTGAGACAATTTTCTTACGAAAGATTTTATTTAAAATGAAACTGATTTTCAGATTAATCCCGTAAGTATACAATTAATTTCTTCACCTAGTTTTCTGAAGAGTACCATAACTCCATTTTCTATCCATGAAGTTTATGACTACTACAGTAATATTATCTAATGAGCCTCTATAATAAGACTGCAATGTTATGCTCTTTGCTCCGTAATGAGGTTCATTCAATCTTTCCTTAACAAATGCCACAGCCTCCTCATTTGAGAATGTGTCCCAGAGACCATCTGAAGCCAAAATGAGAAACATTGGTTTATGGTCTGCCAGGTCAAAGGTCAGGATATCTGGATCGGCAATCACAAGCTTCTTATCTTTAAGTGGATAATCACCAAGAGCCCGTGATGTTGCCAGAATTCCTGCAACACGCCACACCCCATTGAACGTGATGAAACCACCTGCTTCTTTAATGCGTTTCCGCTCCCGCATCTAAAACAATATACTTTATAAAATATGCTGAAACTCCAATTTAAAGTCATGTTATGGATCAGTGGATCTGAACATTAACAGAGGAAAATCTTAGATGGAGGAAACTGAACACACATTATTGACTCAGGGTCACAGAAACTGAAGGCTGAGAGAAGGGGGTCTTCCAGTGTACACAATAATGCTATAAAATTCCTGCAGCAGACCAGTACCTGTTGTGGCTTGTGATCAAATGAGAGAGGAATGGCATTGCCCTTGCTATCACACATTACGCCTCGGGAATCACCCACATTAGCAACCACCAATCGCGAACCTTCAAGAAGAGCAATTAGTGCAGTTGTACCTGAAATGTAAACAATTTAAGTAAGTTCTCAACTGAAGGACCTGGCATTCTTGGGGTAAGATCCTGGGCTGATATTCAAAAGAAGTGAATGTTATTACCAATTTGGTCTGTGTGCAGATTGACTCCTTCACCAAAGCTAAAAGTCTTGACTGTGAAGTATACCAGATGCCCCCACATTAAGCTTTATGTATCCTTTGCCTACTATCCTTCCCATAACTGCCCTATCACAGGGAGGTTACAAAGTCTGCTCTATGTGAGCCATCAGCTCAGAAATGGATTGTGCTTTTGTCACGGTGAATAGAATGTAGAAATTTCAGTATGGACTTTTGTGGGAAGGATTAGACAAATGATCTTTACATTTATTATCTGCAGCAGAGTTTTATTATGTGAAAAGGCATACCTGCTACGTCCATGCTCTTCTTAGCTGCCTCTACCAAAAGACGATCGGCAGCAAGGACTTCGTCTGTAAGAAGCTGTCTGTAATTTATTTTCCCATTGGAATCAAGATAACTAGCAGTGGGAACAACTTTCGGTGGCACAGCATCTTTTCTTGAAGGGCGAACCTCTCTTGTAATGGTTCGAGATAGTGTGTCCAATCGACTCAGAAGTTCTGGATCTGTTATGCTTGCACCCTTCTTCATGCACTCATCTGTTTGTGACGTACTCATAGTCTTCCTGAAGCTATTTTTCTTTTCTACAGGAGTTGCAGCAGGTTTTTTCTCTGCTTCTTTTTTCTCAGTATCCCCAAAATTGGGCGGATATTGTCTTGGTTTGTCTCCAGCAGCAATAAGGTTCTTCAATTCAATAACCTTGTTATTAAGATTATTTATAAGTTTATCGCGGGCATAATTTGCTGCAAACTGAAAAGAAATGCATCATCATAATATATGCATAAAAATAATTTCAGTTATTGGAAAGATCTGGTTACAATCTTTGGTGCATGAGGCTACACATGATAATTCATAACCAGTATATAAACATTTTGGTGAGGAGCCTTGGTAAAAGAAAAAAACAGGTACATGTTAGCACTGAACCTCATAACATATACAAACTAATTCCCTAGCACTGTGCCCGATCATGATATACTGTGTGTCCCCAGCAATTATCTTACCAGCAAACATGCGCCTTACACAAATTGCATACGTTTAATGACTGGGACCTAATGATTCTATGTAACTTAGGTTCAACAGGTGACCTCTGACGTGATGGCCCTACAATATATTTCGGGCCATTTAATTAGTTTTCACACTTGCTGCAAGTGGAATTATTAAATAACTGCGGTATGTATAGGTGCCCTTTTTGGTTTCACGGGCATGCAAGTCTTAATACAAATGTGTACCTACATGCTCTAGATCCTATGAAATCTCTATGTGTGAATTTTATTTTACCTCTCCACCATGCCCATCAAAAACAGCGAACAATGATACACCAGTTTTGTTGATATCTTCGTTAACAACAAAACGATCTTCCATGCGAGGTCGTCGTCCTTGAACGGCATACGCAGCAATAATTCCTTCCTTCAGTTCCCAACTGAGTTTCTCTCCACCTGATACTGATCCATTCACAAAATATTGCAGACGCTGAACCTTTGAGGTCGAACGTCCAATTGTGCATGTTAATCTGCCCAGTAAAGTGCGACTCCAAACATCAACAGCCTGAAGATAGACTAAAATAACAAATAACACGGCACTCAAAATAAGCACCTCTGGCTTTAGTATATAAATTCGTAAAAGCCGCCAAAGATAACTGACTGGGGCAGAATTCAGTGGCAAACCGACAGCAAATCGTGAAATTAGTTTCATGTGAGAAATATACGTCTGATACAGCACTCTATCTTCCAACTCGTCCTCCATTTTCTATTTCGCCTGAGAGGAGCACTGCTGCCAATGTACAGTGCGGTCCAGTGTATACGATTGTATAAGACGTAATCACGCTGTTCTTATTGTTATTTTTGTTACTTCCTCGTGGATCGAATGATAAGTAACAATCAGTGTTCAATCTATCCCTGCTTTATTAAGACTAACGTTTGACACACAAGGGCATTTTATATATATATTCACACTTATAACTATGGTAACACATAACAATATAGAGATACAGAGATTATATTTTTACACACATAATCGTAGTAAGTCACAACAATAGAGAAATTAGAAATAGCGCATGTAGCGCAGTCTGTTATTAAAATTGTTTACTACGACGTTGCCAACTCTAGCATTATATTTTAACATTAGAGGGTTGCCAACATAACACTTATACCCGTATAAAACTAATGAGTAATTATATGTTCCCTTATATCATACGTTTAGACTCCTTTCAGTGCAAACACTTTCCTTTAATTATACATATTTAACGTTCCTTGTACATATGGCATTGGCATTAGGAAGAGTTTTTCGTGCCATCTATACGGTGATTTCTTGGGAAGATTTCAAATATGGCTGACGGTTGACGGAAAGTAATGCGCGAATGTGTGTTTTGTTGCAGCAATTAGTTATAACTTAAATTGTCAGAATGACATGTGCTAAAATGGGCGAAAGGAAATTTACAAGAGGACTGGGGAAGCCTGGAATGGCTGCCCAATTACGTGAAACAGTGTCACAAGTAGTTCGAGAGAGCACGGTTCAGGTATAACTTGTCCAGGAACTAGTCATGTTTGTTTATTCTAAGAGGTTTATATTTAGTTTCTGGCTTTCAAACGTCAGAATTTAAGTCAAAGAGATCGTGAAAGACAATTTCTGTTTCGCTTTTTTTTCGTGTGATATCGTTTAGTTTATTTCATTAAACGTGACTGAATGAAAAATTGGCAGTGGTTTTGTGTTTTTATGAAGGTAGTAAATATTGTGGAATTTATGAATGTAAGGAATTAGATTTTGTATCAGTAGGTAATTAAGGATGTATCGCACAATTGTAGCATTTGCTTGCTCGAAACGTAAACCTGTATTTCTGCTAAATAGAGTGCAACAGATGTGTCTCAGACAGCTTAAAACATAAAAGATTTTAACACTGCTATTCCCAATTTTGATAATTTCAGAGTTGTGTTGGATAGTTATTTTGAATTTTAGTTTTGAAGAATAACAAGTATAGAGTGTAATAAGAATATGGAATTAATCAGTGCATTTGTTTTTCAGAACAAGCCACAGTTAGTTGAACCAATTGATTTTGAAACTTTCATCCTAAAGAATAAGACTTTATTACAAAATGATCCTCAGCGAGAACTATTGCTGTATCCATCGGATGATGTGTCGGTAAGCATAATTCAATTCCTAAGCAGTAAAGTGATATTATTTGACATAAATATTAGTTGTCACAGTGGTGAACAATAGAATGTTGGTCTTCTGGAATGTGGTGCCATGTAATCTGGTACATACCAATGGGGTCATAACTCTGAAGGTCATAATATTGTGACGTATTTGCGCTATGCAGGACAGACCCCTCCCCAGCTAGCGGTGACGTAACACCATTGGAGTGTTCCCGTTGCTACTGTAATAGGTCAGTCAACACGTGGATATTTAAGAACATCAACTATATCCCCCCCTCAATGGCCTCTGTAGTCTAGGGGTAACGTTCCCACCTCATGACTCAAGGTACAAGGGTCCAAACCTGGCGGAGGTCGTGAAATTTTTAAGGGCGGAAAAATTCAGGGAACAAGTCCTCTGGGAGGGAGGAACCTCATGTCTCTAGGAGATCTCTGAGCAAAATTAGGCAACAAGTTTCCTGCCCAAGTAGTTTCCAATGCCTCTGGTAGATGGGGGAAATATCAGATACCGAGGTCCCACCTCGTTGGCTGAACGGGGCTGATAGCATGCACCAGTGCCGGTAGGGTATGGTGACAGTAGAAATTAAAGGGGGACACACAATGGACCAATAACTGGTCTAAGTGCATGGGGAAACCCACCCCCTCTAATAATAATAGTAAAATAGTAATAACCCCCCCCTCCCAAATTGACCAAAATATAAATTACATTACATTGCCTTAAAAGTACAGGGTGGATTTTAATGAACTAGATGTGTTCACGGCTTCATGCTTCACTGCAACTGGCACACCACTGGCTGTGGAGCGCATTCTGATAACATTTAGAATGAAGGGAAGTTCTCACATTTGTTCACAATTCACAGAAACAGTTCAGTTTTTTATGTATTGTGTTCTGCCCTCTGAAGGGCTGTGGGCTAGATGGCCAGGGTTCGAATACCAGCAGGGGCAAGAATTTCCTGTTCTCCACAATGTTCAGATTGGCTCTGGGGCCACTCAGCCTCCTGTCCAGTGGGTATGAGGGGTAATTTCCTCTACACTAAAGCTGCTGCGGCATGAAGCTGACAACCTAGGTCCATCAAGTGCCAAGCTCAAGAATTGTGGAACTATACCTCCACACCCCTGTATATCTTCATGGCATAGGTCTTAATTAATTAATTAGCACAGGGAAAACTTCGCTTAATGTTCTACCCTCAAGATGGAGGCAGCAGATTTATCTAAAATGAATGTAACTATTTACCAAAGCAGCCTCCATAGTCTAGGGGTAACGTTCCCACCTCATGACTCAAGGTACGCTGGTTCAAATCAGGCAGAGGTCGTGGAATTTTTAAGGGCGGAAAAATTCAGGGAACAAGTCCTCCAGGAGGGACTTTAAGCTGTGGGTCCCGTGTCGTAGATTTACAGCACGTAAAAGAACCTCATGCCTCTAGGAGGCCTCTGAGCTAAATTAGGCCAAAAAGTTTCCTGCCCAAATAGTTTCCAATGCCTCTGATAGATGGGGAAATATTAGGTACCACTGCCAGAGGAGGGACGACCTCGCTGACAGAAAGGGACTAATTATTAGATACCACTGCCAAGTAGAGGGTGGAAACCTTGCTGGCAGAAAGGGGCTAAAGTATTAGGTACCACTGCCAGAGGAGGGACTAACTCGCTGACAGAAAGGGACTAACTATTAGATACCACTGCCAAGTAGAGGGTAGAAACCTCGCTGGCAGAAAGGGGCTGATAGTGAGCACCAGTATTGGTAGGGGATGGAGATGGTAGAAATTAAAAGAGGGATGTACAATAGACTATCAGTCACGGTGCATGGGGAAACCCACCCCCTCAATACTGAATCCCTGAATCACTGAATTTACCAAACAACATGGCAACACTGGACAAATTAGTCAGGCAGTAGTGCTTTCAACTTGTATTCCCAAGGTGCTCAGTTTGAATCTTGGCCAGGGAATTAGGTGTCCTGATAGATTATCCATGGTTTTACTTAGTCCCTCCACCCTCCATGCAAGTTCTGGGATAGTACCTCAGTAAGGCCACAACATGTTTCCAAATCCTTTCTGTTTCATCAGTGATCCTACCATTATGTGCTATACTGAGTAAATATGTTCAGCATTGTGTAGTAATCTTCATGTAGCGTCACTTCCCAGAGGGCCATAATCTTAATATTCTCAGATCTCGGTAACTGGAGAAACAGTAATGGGACTGGTTCCTTTATGATGTGCAGTTTAGTGTGTAATACTGTGACTCACAGTAATGACACTGTATAGGTCTCTGAGGATGTATCTTGCCTTGAGTGGGCAACTGCACAGAGAGAAGTCCCGTGTTCAGCAAGATGACTGGAATTGCGAGTTTGTGTAAGTTTCTGATCATGGTATCATGTCCTGTGTTTCTGTATGGTCAACCAAGGGGTTGGAGCTCGAGTCCTGATAGGCTCAAGAATTTTCTCTCTACCATGTCATCTAGACCAGATCTGGGGCCCACCCAGCCTCCTATCCAATGAGTACTAGGGGCTTTTTTCCTGCAGGTGCAATGGCAGGGGCATGAAGCTGGCCGCTCACCTCAAACTAGTGCTGAGGTCAAGAAAATGTGGATCCATACATCCACACCCCAGTCTGCCTTCATGGCATTAAGCTTAATTATTTAAGCACAGGAACAACCTTACCTTTTACCTTTACCTTGTTACTGTATGATGCATTCTCAGAGATCTTTTATGTGGACAGTAATATTGAATATTTTGCAACACATTTGATATTGCTACTGATGTTGGTATCATATTTCAGCAAGTTGTTTTACCAAGGAGATTTCGCACAACTGTACACAGTGTACCTGCAGCAATGGATGCAACAGACTGCAGCCTTTTCACCAAGGAATGTCTTAAAACTTACACATCAAATTGGAATCTTATTCATTATAAATATAGTGCCTATTCTGGGACCTACCTAGAACTACCAAAGTAAGTTATGTAATATTTCTTATTAAAGAAAGGAAATGGTTTGGACCCAGTACAGTGAAGTTGGTTTCTGATTAGTGTACTTTAAGCTTTATTGTCTCCTAATAGGGGCTTTAAATTTTCCTGACAGCTAGATTTTAACTCGGATATCAGTATGAGATTATAAGGTTTTTATGGCAGTGAGAATCAAGATTTCAGTGTTCTGGGTTGTGACACTGTGTAGTTTGGTAGACAGGTACCAAACAGCTGAAACCTCCTTGTCTACTAAAGTACATGGTGTCATGTCACTTTTCTTTTGTTTTCTGTGTAGGTGAGTCAAATGAAAACTGTAAAACTGAGATAGAAATTTGAAATTTCATGCCATTATCCTATAAGTTGGCAGACATGTTACCAATGCTATAAAGAGTATCCTATAGGTGGCAGTATAATGCAGACAAACATATCACCATCACAGTGCCAGTTTGAAGATGGCTGCGCCACAGCGTGCGCTTACACATGTGTGTAAGTACCATAACATCTAACAATAAGTTATCTGCCTTTCAGAATATTGAAGTCTGATGAATTGAAGGATGAAGTGTATGAAGTTGACACAGATGCAGACCAAGTTGATGAGGTAAGGAGACCTGTGTAATTTGTATCAAGTTAGAATACAACTGGCTTTAATCAGGAGGCTTTGAAATACATTTATTTTATATTATTTCAGTATTTGCATGTTGCACATTATGTCTGTTGGTTACATTTTACAGTAATTTGCTGAGACACATTGGACTCATATTCCTTATACAAGGTATAGGGTGTGGATTTATACATCCACTCCACCTATGTCTTCATGGTGTAGTGCTTAATTAGTTAAGCATAGGGAGAACTTTACATTTGCAGGGTATGCAGAAATTTACACCTGGGTTTTAGGAGGAAATATTTTCTCAAGCATTATACATATTGAAGAAGAAAAAAAAAACAGTGAAAGGGTTATTAAAAAAAAGTTTCAGTAAATTTCCAGTAAATTTTGTAGCATGACACATGTAGCTGATGGCTGACTTTAGTTCATGCACACGTTGATATCTGAGGCACATACTGCTTCAGCAGCTGCAGTAATCACATAAACTGGCCAACTAGTCAATCCACCTATGCAGGACACCTTTAACTTGGCCCAAGAAAAGTCATGTAGCATGAAATACATTGATCTTGGAGGCCCCGTGTTTCAGCTTCTGCCTTGTCCATATCCAAGGAAACTTGTCACTGAGTGCATTAAGAAGGTTTGTCATGGAAGGAGTGCATGTGGAAATGTACTGCTAGAAACATCTGATGTAGCTTTCATTTCAGACATGGTCTCCTGAAATCCGAGAGTGACTTTCTGCTCACCTATACATAATGTTATTTGTTTCAGGATCTTCTTTCCAAGAATGACTGCATCACAAAACAAGGATACCTTATGAAAGGACCCGAAGTAGGCTCAGACAGAATGTTTGTTAATATTGGCTCCAAATCCTTCAAGCGACGCTATTGTTATTTACGGTAATGTGAGGTCATATTTATGAACTGAGTTATGGACACAGAATGTCTGAATTGAACCTGTATTATCTGCAAGTAAAGTATTTCTGTCGTGTGTGTTTTAGACAAGAGGTGGATGGAACATACATCCTAGAGCTGCACAAAGATGAAAAGAAGGGAGAAGCAAAGGCCACAATTGTTATGGATTTCTGTACAGAAGTAGTTCGTGTGAGTTTCCATCATTGTCTTTGAAAACAACTAACTAATTCCATGGCCACACCATAGTTCAGGTGGTTAGTTGCTGGCTTCCTACCTCGGTGGCCTGAGTTCGAACTCGGGTCTGGTCAAGTGGGATATATGGTGAACAAAGTGTCCTCTGAGTATTTCAGTTTCCTCTGCCAACGTTCATTCCACCAATTGCTCCACAAGCACCATTATCTATCATCTGGGGCTGGTACAATAGGCCAGTAGTGGCCCCAGTACCAAGTGGACTTAGTCTCACCCAACTAACAATAATAAAAAAAATAAAACTAATTCCATGGAGCTGAGCCCATCTTGAGAAATTAGCAGTTGCTCAGCCACCCAAGAAATTCGTAGTTTTTATGGAACCCAGAGCTTCTTTACTGTGTTTGCAAGAGACTGCCACTAGTATTTGTAATGATCCAGGTGAATCCAGTCCACACCCTCCCATCCTATATTTTTAAGATACATTTTAATATTATCCTTCCATCTGCATCTGTATGTTCCTAGTGGTGTCTTTCCTTCTGGCCTTCTCACTGAAACCCTGTAGGCATTCTTCTTTTACTACATGCATGCTATATGCCCTGCCCAACCCATTTTTCATCACATTGTCATTATAGTAATATTTGTTAAGGTGTACACTTTTCTGCTTCCTGTTCTCAGTTGCCCTTAGTCTGTGTTCCTCCTGCAGTGAAAGAGGCAAAATTTCATACCTCTGATAAAAGTAAAGTTGCCCGTGTGCTTGAGCAATTAAGGCTCACCCCATGAAGATGTATGGGGAATGGAGATATAGCTGAGTGGTCAGCTTCACACCCTGGCTGCTTTACTCCTGGGGTGAGCCCAAGAACTGATCTAGATGCTGAGGAGTAAAGACAAATCTCTTGATTCTGCCAGGAATCAAACCCTGGTGTCCGGTGCATATCCTGTTGCTGTACCATAGTTTTGTATATTTTGATCATTATGCTTTTAGATAGCAGATGGGCAGATAAGATGTTCTGAACTGATTGTTAGGAGACTTTCCCTGAGTTTAATCTGCTCTTGAGTGCTTTGTGAGTGCAAGTTCAGTATGTTAGCATTGTTTCCAGAGCAACATGGAACCTATATTTGTGATACCTCCATGCAGTGAAGATGGAAGCTCAGCTTACATGACATCTATGTTACCAAGAGTAATTGCTTGCTCACAGTTTATATCACCCCTTTGGTTTCGCTGCCTTTAATTTCTATGGTAAAATATAAGTCCAGTTAACTTTAATGCCATTAATTTTATCCATTTCTGAATCATAATTGTTTTGATAACTTTAATGTGCAATTAATATAAGTTATTAAAATGTAAACCTGGGGATGGTTATATAGTAAAGACAACCATGAGTCCCATAGAGAAAAAATGTGTGTATTATATCTGAGGTTCTCACAGAGGTAGATATGTTGGTGAACCTCCACAGGACTACATGATGCCACATCTCAAGAGATTGTATACTCTTGATGTTAATTCAGCTCTTGGATGCTTGCATTGTGTGGATATGGGCAATGCTGCAAATATTTTGGAAGTACTTTTGGTTCTGTTATATTTTAGCGTCCTGTTGCACTGATTTAAGTCCATGATTTATTTAAACCGTCTTGCAGTGCATACACTCATTTATCTCCTTCTCTCCCTCGCACTACATGTTTCGGCATAATAATGCCATCTTCAGGTGCTTACTTATCCACGCCAAACTAGTTCATTGCATGCCTTGTCCTCATATTAAAATAACTAAAATATGTATCTATCATATACATTGTCAAACGTTAAAAATATTAAAATTGTTCAGGATACCACATCACTACGTCGCACCTCACTACGCCAGTCACGCCCATTCTCCTCTGTTGGAGCACTCCTTCACTATCTTGTGTGTGTCTGTAACGTGAATTTTTTATTCATTAATACCGCGTTCCATATTTTATTTATTAATTGTGGTATTATAATTTTTTAATAATACTCACTGTGCTTTTGTTGTGTCTTGCTCCTTTGACTGCGTGTGTTATACTGTTGGGCCTCCTGGGTATGTGTGTGTGTTCTGTCTTCGTTTTGAGTGAGTTATGATGTTGTGGGCGTAGATGTGGTGGGGGTAGGGGGTGGGGTGTTGTTATGTTGTTCTGTGTAGATA